CGGTTGCGACCTGGGACGACCCACAGGTGCTCTTGCGAGAGATGGAGGGATGCCGCCTACCCCTGGCGAATATCGTCGAGCCGATGCTGGGTGGTGGCAATGCTGAAGGGGCATACGACACGCTCGCGGAGGTCTACAAGAACACGCCCGATGGGTTTTTGGCCATGTGCCCCTACCCGCCGGGAGGCGAGGTCGACCTGCTGATCGTATCAGACTCATCACTTGCTCTGGTACCTGACCCCCAAGCAGGGAAGGCTTCGTGTTTTTCCGGAGGCGATCTTTTGAAGCCCTGGGGAGACATCCGTGGCATTTACACAAAAATGTTGTGGGGCAAAGGTTTGAACCACATGGTGCAGTACATCCCCGAGGCCATCGACGACATCGAGTCCACCAATCGTGCACATGGTCGCCCGGTTTTGCCGGTGTTGGTCATCGTGGGGTGGGCCGGCAATGATGTGTTTGGCGAAGGGGGTTACAGAGGTGTCCATTGGATCCACCGGGCTGCCTACAACAAGTCTGCTGCCGACCGGGAGGTCACGGCCAACTGGTGTGAGCGGCAAAAGGCAAGAGTCGAGCGGTCCGTCAACGAACTGGGCCAGATCAAACGTGATGAGCCTCGGATCCTGGACATCGTGGTCGTTGGGAACGCTGACGCGGAAATCTTTGCTCTCCCGTCAGCCTACAATGAGACCATGCGGGTCCACATCAGGGCACTTCGAGAGGACCATGGTATTCAAACTTTGGACACCACCTTGATGCTTGCCAGAACTGTGAGATATGACAAGGTGCATTTGGAAGACGACGACATCAACCGGAAGTATGTCACCAACTTCCTCCAGGCCGTCGCTGATTGCCACCTTGCCTACCTCAAGCTCATCAGCGTCGACGATCACTTGAGAACACTCCCAAGAATTGACGATCTCCAGGAGCAGAAGAACTACCCGAACCTCACCATCCTCAAGGCCGCGTACCAGCTTGAAATCGATTCGAATGTATCCTCTCCAAAAGATCTTCCTCAGCGACCTGATCCTGAGAAGCTCATGTTGGATGCAGATGTCGAGATTTTCAACTGGGTGCTTCAAGCTGAGGAGAGCGCCACAGCCTCTGCCGACCGGGAGGTCGAGTCCTGGTTGCGTGACATTCCTGAAGAGGACCAGGCATTGGAACCAATGCACCATGACAACGCTGATTCGGACGATGAGGCTGTCAAAGTTCAGGCCCTCACCATGGATGATCGAATTTTGGCGAGGCGAAAAGGCCTTTCTGAGGAGCACGACCAAGAATGGCAAGATGCCACCTATGCGGCTGAGGATGAAGACGAGGACTTCAAAGGGTGGGACCTCATTGAGGATGACAAACGCCCGCCGGGAGTCGTGGCCAGTGACCCAGTACATGAAGAGGAAAAGGAGCTGGACCTTGACGACCTCGAGACGGTGGCTTCGGTGGAGATTGTCGATGAAGAGGAGTTCCACGACGCTGAGGAGGGGCAGGCAGAGCCGATGATGATGATGACGATGACGACATGGCCGTGATCGACAAGGTCTCTTCTATGCAGGCCTCGAAGTCTGATGCACGGGGGGACCCGGAGCCCATGGATGTTGATGATCAGGGCAACAAGATGGTCCAGAGTACGGCATCAGCGAAGACCTGGAAGACGGAGATGGCCCAGAGCTCGTCATCGGCAAAGACGTGGAAAACTGAGATGGCTCAGAGCACCTCATCTGCAAAGACATGGCGAACTGACACCACTGCAGCTGCGTCGGCGGGAGCCACGCCTTCTGACCCGACGTCCAAGCTCAAGCCCAAGAAGAAGGCCATGCCAAAGAGATTGAAGGTTGTGGATGAGGGACATGGGCCAAGTGCTGAACAGTTTGACACGTCGAAATTTGCCTCAGCACAGGATCTGGTTTGGATTGAGCCGGACAACATGGCAGGAGTTCCTGTGCGCAAGGTGGACTACGGGAGGCTTGGATCAATTTCCCATGCTATGTCCGACTACCTCCGTGGCCATCGAATGTTTCACAGGAGGCCATCACCTGAGATTCGGAGGACTGATTTGTCAATGGACTTCAAGGCATTGGTGAGGCATCTCCAAGGAGATTTTGCGCACCTTCGAGAAGAAGAAGTTTTGATGGTTGTGCGCAACTCCCCGATGCGTCGCTTCAGAGTCCAGGTGAACGGCTTGTCGTCCGGAAAGCTCAGGTGGACGCCAGTGAGGATCAGGGCCATTCAGGGTCATCGGGCCTTTCTCGTGGAGCAAGGGGGGATGTCAAGCATGATCAAAACGATGTTCACTTTTGATGAGAACTTCGACCAGACCAAGATTGACGACCCAACGGTCCACCCCGCTTTCTCCGCGATGCCGGAAGGCTCGCCTGTGTGGCACAAGTTCCCCAGAGTGGTGTATCACACCTGTGACCAAGCCGCCTTCAATTCCATCATCAAGCACGGCCTGATCCCTGGCGGATTCCCGTACAAGACGGGCAGAGCCCACAACTTTTTCAACTCCACTCCGCCCTGGAAAGCGGAAATGAAAAAGTTGCAAGGTACGCGGGCCGGGAGGCCAATCGCCATCGCGTTCGACATGGAGCTCATGATGCAAATGGGCTACAAACTTTTCGCGACTGACGAGGCCATCCTGTCGCCAGACTGGATCTCGAACCAGCCGATGATCAACGCCTTTGATATGCGTTCGGGCGAATTTTTCTTTATCAACAGGGCTTATGTCAACCATCGGAAGGCTTACCAGGAAGTCGACCCGGTGGTGGAAATTGGAGCCGAGGGCAAGGTCGACATGGATTTGAGTTGCAATTCAAGGACATCTCCTACAACCAGATCCAAGACACGCCTCAGGTGCGCTGCAGCCATCCGATCTGCGGATATCTGATGATGGATGGGCATTTGAAATGCCCGCGCTGCTTCCGGCAGATGGAACCCGTGACCGATGCCAACATCGCCACGGAAGTTGCCCGCCGGGAGGCGATGGCCCGCACCAGAGGAGTGCCCTTCTCCATGGACAAGGTGATCTTCAACCACCCGCGAAGAGGCAGAGTAGCCAGGCAGCCGGAGAAGGGATCATCATCTTCTTCGACAGCCATCCGGACCAGAAGCACCTATGGCAACTTGAGAGACATGGCCAAAAACTACGTCAGATCTTTCAAGAAAAGGGGCTTCAAAGACCTTGTTGACCGACTCGTCCGCGACCCGTTCTTTCAGTTCAATGCGGCGAATCAAAACTTGGTGCCGGAGGCCTTGCTCTTCATTGAGCGTTTGGCTGGCTGCGTGAGCCCGACCATTGAGCGCACCAAAGCTCAGGTTCTTGGTGAAAAGCTCGAGATGGCCACCAAGTTGATCTTTGTGCCATCGTCGGAGCGGGAGCCCGACCAACCCTTGGATCTTCACACCGAGGTGTTTGTGTCGCATCGGGGCGTCTTTCTCGACATTGGCCAATTCGCAGTCTACGTGGCGAAGTTCATCAAGCCAAGGCAAAGACCTCTACCCATTGTTTATGGATGGGGCAATCGTGACTTTGTGCCTGATGCTTCAGATGCCAAAGAGATCGCGAAAGAATTGGTGGAGTTCAGCAAGCTGCAATGGTCGAACTTTGCCTCCCAACAGACGCACAAGGAGTCTGAGACCACCGGCGACGACCGGGAGGTCAGTCTTCCTCATGCAAGTGCAGCCATCAGCCGACCTGAACATGAACGACCCCATCACGAGCAGTTTGAACCGAATCTTGGCAAGCCTGCTCGCGGCGGTCCTTACGGCCAGGGTGGTGGTGGTGGAAAAGGTCATCACAAAGGTGGAGGACAGACCAAAGGGAAGGGACAGCAGAAGGGGAAGGGCAAGCAAGGCAGAAGCCCACCGGGAGGTGTGGCCTACGGTGACTTTGAAGGAGATTCCTTCTGGGTTCAGGGCTATCGCTACACGTGGTACTGGAATCAACAGCGAGGCTGGTACTGGCGCTGGACCTGAACTATGGGATGGCTCGCATTGACACTTAGGTCATATCTTTCCTTTTTCAATTTGCTTGCCGGGAGGCATGCCTGTCTATGACAAACTTGGCAGGCATTGCACCCATTGAACAAACCAAAGCTTCGACGCATATAATGCATATCCTAGTCAACTGAACTTCAATGCACAAACTTCCGCACAGTTTGAATGAATTAAAATTTTACTTCAATGACTTCTCAAGCCATATAATTGGATGTTCAAGGCAAGATGCAAATCGATTCACACCTTTCATGGCTGTACAGTTTTTCCTGCCATGGTATCCTTTTGGGGTGACATTACAGGAATGGTATTGTTCCTTCATTCCAATTGAAGATGCCTGGCGGGAGCCACGGCCGTGCTGTGTGCAACTTCGAGCCCATCATCGGCGCAAAAGGAATATATGAGCCTTTGCATTCGCCCAACACTGCCTTGACATCCGAAAGTCCCATGTCCATACGCATTCGGCCTGACTGTGTAGCTTCGAATTTTCTGTTCGCTTAGGTCTCATTGCGGCGGCATACTGCAGGCACTGTTATGCTGGAGCTGCTAAGCAGCTACAGCATACGGGGGGTATTTTTACGGGATAGTCATCTACACTGTTCTTACTCCCCTGTAAAGTGTGTCCTGTAGTAATTGTACATTCATTGGACTTTATGGCTCAAGAACAAAAAGCGTGTGTGTGTTGCTGGCTGATCTAGGTTGCATAACCTGTAAATATATATATTATACAGTAATTATACATTCTATTTCATTGTAAGCATTCTTAGTTGGTTGTTTTTTTCATGTTTTATCCCCATGACATCTCCTACATTTTTTTTTTAAAATCTTTATGAAATGGCCCCACGAAGAACTTTAGGATTTACCCATTGTTAGTTGGTTGGTCTTGATAAATCACCAGAGAAACATATACCCACGAAAAATAGTAACTATCCCCATGACATCTCCTATAGAATCTTTATGAAACACCCATCCCCACAAAGACAGACATATCTCGATGGATGGCGCAGGAACGCATCTTTTGCTTCGATGGACCTGATGAGCACATCCGCAGGGCCTTGCTAGCACAAGAGCCCCCCTGGGTGGAGACGCTTGACATCGACGTCATGGCAGTGTTGTTTAGAGGATCATCCCATGGTAACCTATGGGAACCGAAAAGTCATGGAAATTTCCCAGGAAAACGATGGCAAGTACTAAGATAGCTGTCGAAATCCATGTTTTTTATCCCCTAGGAAGGGATCTAACTAATGGTGGATTTTACATATCTATTTTGTGGTTTGCTGGAGAATAGGGGCTGGTTAATAAGTAAACCATGGTGAACCTAATGATGAACTTCCAATTCGGGACGGCTTGAAGCCGTTTCCTGAATGGGATGAATGGGATATGCCCAGGACATCAAGGGCTACTTTTCACAGCCTAAGTAGCACCAGTCTTGGCAAATTCGAGTGACCTCTCAACCTCTCAGCACCATTTCCGGTGTCCCTTTCATCATGACACGTTGCCAGGAGACCCGAATCAAGGCCCAAAACTGGTCCCCAGTTGCAGCTCTTAAGCCAGCCATTTCTGAGGAATCAGATGGCCACCTCCAAGATTTTCCACTTGAAATGGACGGTGTCGGATTGTGAGGATGACTACCGCTCCTCGATTCGCTAAGTGGGCTGCTTTTTTTTAGGCGGAGTATTCTGGGATATTCTGGGTCACTATGGTATGTTCCTCCATGTTCCACTATATCCCAGCCAGTCATAAACATAGAATTCGGCGCCAACAGGGAGAATCTCCTCAAAAACCCACGGTAACTTGTCATCAACCGTGGCTGGAACATCCACGAACTGTGTCTGGGAGAACTGGCTTGATGCCGAGGATGGTCTCTGAGGGTTGGAGCCAACGTAAAACAACACGGATATGTCTGAAAATGAAGTATACCTGGTATACAGTATACCTTCTGAATGGCCATGGAAAATAGGGAAACTAATGGAAACTGATTCATCATCATCATTTATTTTGGCCCTCTATTTTCAGACAAGCCCGAAAATCATGACCTTTGCATACCTTTGCCCTTCACTTGGTACGGGTTTCTCCTAACTTTCCGGTCCCTTCACTGGGATCACATCGCTCTGCCGCATCTGCCGCAGCTTTGGCCCATGAGGGAAGCAGCTGACAGCCCCAGGGCGATGGCAGAGCTAGGACATGGACAGCGATTTGGCTTGCTCCGTCTAGTTATCCTCATCAATATCTCATAATTCATAAATATTCATAATATCTGAAGGTCAGAAGATTTCACCCGTTCGGGCTTACTGAATTTCCCAACTAAGCAGAATTGCTTGGGTACATCCGCGATGCAATCATCGCATAGCATCGCATAGCGTGAGTGCTTGGGCACAGGGCCGCAATATTGAGGCAATGGATCAGAAGAAGCTAAGGGAGCTGACCAAGAAGGAGACATGTTTGTGGAAACAAACACCCAGTGGCTTCTGAAGGGAGCTCTAATATCCTGTGTTAGTTGAGGATGATCAATCAATACATTTGGAATCTCGAATGACAGAGGGTTTTGAACACTGCTCAAATTCTTATCGTAATCCTTGGGTCATCTAGCCCAGCAATGGAATTTCCGTCAGGTGCAATTCCAAAACGGATGATTTTCCGCTTAACCATGAGGATATTCCATTGCCAGCTCTGATTGCCGGATGGCATGACCAGCAATAAGCTTGGCATGCAACTGGTGGCACTTGGAGGATCATCCTCACTTAGTAGGTCAGTAACTTAGTAACTTAGTCCCGGATATGTGGAGTTACCCTATCAATAAATGGGGTGTACAAATCAGTGATGATTCCTGGGCTGATCCTCCAGTGAGCCTGGCGCCAGGAGAAGGAACGGCGCGGTCAGGACACTGCGACGCTGCCCTCGAAGCGTCGCCACCCCGTTGCGGAGCGCCCCGCGGCAAAGCGCGCGAGGGCGGAGATGCCACCGCCCAAGGTGCCGCAGAAGAAGGCGGAGAAGGATGTGCCCAAGGAAGCTCCGATGGAAACCTGGAATTTGCTGGTGATTGCCTGGCAAACTTTGGTTTGAGTGTTTGTATATGTTTGTATGATTTTTGTCATTTGCTGCTGATGTGCTGGCGATTCTTGGTTGAATCTGCTGGGAATGTTTGCAGAAGACATTTTTTCAGTTTTTGGGGCCCATGAGTGCAAATCCAAGGAAAGTTCTGAGATGGAGGACGCGCCCGAGATTGACAGCAAGATAGACTCAGAGCAGGGAGTTGAGGCAACCCAGGAAGCCTCAGAAGCAGAGCCAGCAGCTGCTGAAGATTCAGCAGATCCTGGGCCGGAAGAGCCGGAAGAAGCCATAGGTCCCATGAAACCCTCTGGCCCTGTGCTGGGCCAAGCAGCCCAAGAGGCGCCGGAGGCAGAAGATGAAGGGGAGGAACCCAAGGGCTTGCCGGAGGGCTTCTTTGATGATCCAGATATGGATGCCAAGATGCGGGGTGAGGAGGCACCCTCCAAGAGAAAGGAGAGGGAGTTGGAGGAAGGTTTGAAGAGATTTGAGAGGGAAATGCAAGCAGAGCAGGAGAAGGCTGAAGAGACACGACATGAGATTGATGAGGAGAAATACGCCGTGGCCGCAGCAGAAGAAGAGGAATTTCAGGTCCAACTCCAATCTCGACTTGAGAAGCTGAGGCAGCAGACAGCCAGTCGGAAGCTCAACTTGCCAAAGGAAAAGGAGGAGGAAAAGGAGGAGGAAGTAGATGATGAGGGCGAGGATGACGATGATGAAGATTTGGCATTAGACTGGCGGGCCAAGGGCTTCAGCTGAGGGGAGGAAAAGAGTCGTTTGAGGGCACGAGGTGGTGTTTAATTTGCATAAACAGCCAAACGGGAAGCAACATGAAGCAACTCCATCATGATATTGAATGGGAGCATATCAGCATGTAAAGAGTCCAGTTACTGGAGATTGCTGTGTGATTCACATGAATTGCTTGTACTTTCATGTGTTTTCTCGTGTGTTTTCTCATTCAGCCAAAACTGTCTTTGTCACCTCCATGGCCTCCCCTTTGAGGCTATCTTCAGGAGGGCATGCTCTTCAATCACTTCCAAAGGAATCGTGAGTTAACCACGAAAGTGGGGCTCACCAACAACTTGCGGAGGCCGCGCTTGGCTTTATCACCCAACCTTCATCCCATAGAAACTGAAAGACACCTGGAAAATGGATGAAAATCGGATCCCCAATGGATCCCCCACTATCCAACTCATCTCACCCCCAAAAGGATCTCCGATGGTTCAAGGCTTTCACCTTGGGCCTCCATCCACAGGTTTAGTTGCGAGGGCCCGGTGGATGTGGATCGCTTCTTTCCCCGCTCCTACGTGGCTCGGAATGTCAGGGATCTGAAGGGTTTTTCACCCCAGTTCGAGCCATTTTAATGCCATTTTAAAAAAGGGAAGGAACATTGAGGTATGATAAGTCTATGTGATGAACATGATCAATCATTGATGTTATTGTTTGGGGCAAAGGGCACATACACGCACATACACAGACATACACAGACACGTGCATACACACACACACTCTGTAGATAGGTAGATAGATAGATAGATAAATAGATAGATAGATAGATAGATAGACAGATAGATAGATTGATAGACAGATAGATTGATGGATTCATTGATAGATAGATGGATTCATTGATAGATAGATGGATTCATTGATAGATAGATGGATTCATTGATAGATAGATAATGATAGATAGATAATGAAGATAATGATAGATAATGGTAGATCATGATAAATAATGATAGATAGATCATGATAGATAATGATAGATAATGATAGATAATGATAGATAATGATAGATAATGATAGATAGGTGGATGGATGGATGGATAGATTGATTGATATTAATTATATGATATGATATGATATATGTATGTTGTTTGTTGGCTTGCTTCATTTTTTGTCTTTTTGTTTCTTCCCGTCTTTATCCATTTACTAATCTTTCATTTCCGCACTTCTCGATGAATTGCATGACCCATGAAGCTGGAAGGTGGGCCCCAAAACGAAACACACATCATTTACCATCTGGTTATTTAACATAGCCATGGAAAATCACCATTTTTAATAGGTAAACCATCTATAAATGGGCAATTTGCCATGGCAATGTTAAATAGCCAGAGGGTACAACAAGGGAAGTCACACTTTTTTTGGTGTTAAATCGCAATTTTTGTGAGTTCAACAGTTCAACCACCATTTTTGGTGCTTAAATCACCAGTTTTTTTTTTGCGTTGCCATGACGATGGAACAACTGCCGACTGCCGCTGTGTTCGCTCAGGACATGAGCTCAGCGAGCGAAGTGCAGGACAAGTGATGGGATTGCCCAAAAAAAAATGGTGTCAGCTAAGCCAAACCCAGTTTTCTGGTGGCAGAATTATGGGGCAATTTCAGTCGAGTAATCCAACTGAGTTGGCCCATGGCATCAAAATCGCTGGAATCATTAGCTCAGTAACTATGGGATTACTTCTACGACCCTCTGGTAAACGTTTACATAACTATGGAAAATCACAATTTTTAATGGGTAAATCAACTATTTCTATGGCCATTTTCAATAGCTATGGTAAATTACCTCACCACTTCCCTCAACACTTCTGCTCTTCGCGGAGGACTTTGTGTTGGACTTCCGCCGCTGCGCCGCGCTGGGCGTGTTGCGGCAACACTTGCGCTTGGCCAACTGGGCGGAGGAAAGGCGCAGGTGCCGTGGTGCCATGGCCCCAATCCGGCCATGGATTTTGGGTCCCAACAGATGTGGGATTTACAGCGGTTTTTCGGTTTGAAATGTGGCTTTAAGACGTTCAATTTGGGAAAATTGTGATGTTAATTCATCATTGAATCTTACGGGTATGATATTTTTGGATAAACCACTATCTTTTGTTGGCGAGGACTTCACAAGCTTTAGAGAGTTCTCCCCACCCTTGCTTATTTCAATTTTCCTGGTTAGCCAGATTTTGGTGCCCAACGCATCTACTTGTATTTGGGGGTGGGTCAAAACCTATTATTATCAATTCTAATGGGATGAACATCCATTTACCAGCTATTTTGGGGTTCACTAGGTGCCAGGGTTTTGACCAATAGCCATTTGTCTTCCCTTCATGGGATGATGTGACACACCACAATACACCTGGCGCCAGGCTGATGGAGCACCTGAACATGGACGGAGTGGTGGATGGTAGCTGCTACGTTTGCAACGTCAACGTGCTTAGGCCGGGGCTCCCCCTGTGGCCTTCCCGGTGGCCTCCCCGGTTCCACGGTTCCACGGCCAGGATTGCGGTGAAGGCCATGCTCCACTGGTTGGAGGATTTGGATGGCACCTTCTTTGAGGTGGGCATGAAACGTTGAAAAATCATCCCTTACCCTGGCTGGTTGGGTGCTGCTTGGTGCTTTGGAACATGGCTTTTATTTAAAAAAAATCAGTTGGGAAGAATGATCCCAACTGACAAACTCATATTTTTCAGAGGGGTAGGTATACCACCAACCAGTAATTGTGTGTGTGTTATATAATTGCAGGTAAACGTCTAAGCAAATACAGTCTGCGTGTATATTCAATATCTATATCTACATCTACATTATATATGGGTATGGATCAATACCTATTAATAGCATTTTTAGGGGAATGAACATCCATTTACCAGCTATTTTGATGTTCACCAGGGGTACAAGGTTTTGACACACTGCCATATATATATATATATCTAATATCTAATATCTAATATCTAACATCCCAACTGAAGTGATCCACTGGTTGAGCTGCGCTGTCAGGACGAAGACCAACGACTGGGCGCCCGACCTCACCTCTACACCCAGGATTTTGGGATGTGGGATCCTGAAGCTATGAATTTATAATCAGTAGATTCAGTAGATGTTTACAGTTAGCTATTGAACATGGCCATTGAAATAGTGGATAAAAACCCATAAAAAAAACATGGTGGATCTTTCCATAGTTTTTTGTAAACGTTTACCAGAGGGTAGAACATGGACATTTCAAACAAATCACTGATTTTCGAATATCTTTGAACATGCGATATTCTACCTACTTCAGGATGATTATGCGTATACATATTTTTAATTGAATATCGCTGTTTTATGTTAAATTACAGTATCATTGGTAATCATTAAAACGTAATAGATTTGGTATTGTCCTGTACTAAGAACTTTTGCATATTGGAATCATCACTCTGACAATCATCCTGTCATTCTACTGTAGCAATTCCATTATTCAAGAATTCTCATGTGGCCACCCAATTCATCAACACAATCCAATTCTAAACGTAGGGTTCGCTTGGGGAGTATTTCATATTACCCTCTGGTAAACGTTTACATAACTATGGAAAATCACCATTTTTACTGGGAAAATCCACTATAAATGGCCATTTTCAATAGCTATTTTGACATAACCAGAGGGTAGGCCAGGCGGAATCCGGGTTGCGAGTTGTTGGGCTACTGGGGAAGTTTAGTCCTCGGAGATAGCCACTAGGTCACTAGGGACGATGGGATGATCTTCGATCGACTCTTGGTACACCTGATAAACCATAATTTAAGGGAAAACCCCATTCCCTTTGGTAATTTAACATGGCTATTGAATGAATGATGGATATCTGGATAACCATAGATGACCAGGATATACTATCAACAGATGGGAAAATATATGACAATATACCCTCTGGTTATGTCAAAATAGCTATTGAAAATGACCATAGAAATAGTGGATTTTCCCATTAAACATGGTGATTTTCCATAGTTATGTAAACGTTTACCAGAGGGTAATAAATAAATAGAGATCTTATGATGGATCTCTATATCATTAATAAATGGATCCCATTAATTGGATCCAAAACCCATTAATAGAGATTGTCTTGATTCTTGGGATCACCCCCTCTCTCTCTTTTCCCTCTCCTCGCCCCCTTATGATATGTATACATTTATATTTCCCCCTCGAGACCCCACATGCCACGGGTCTTCCCGAGAACACATCTTGCTTGGGACATGGGGCTCCCTGTGCCATGAAATTTCCATTGCGACAGGAGTGGGACGCTCTGGTGTCATGGCAGTGAAAGCCATGGAGCACTGGGAAACCCCCGGAAAAGATGGGACGGAATGCAATGTTGACATTGGCAGCGTTTTGAATAACAATTGAACCTCCAAAATATGTAAAACCCTGGTCAGTTTAGCCTTCGGTGTCATGAAAGATGCTTGCCTGAAAATCACCCGCTGGATGATTTTCCCAGCTATAAAGCTCCATTTCTAGAGGATTTCCCAGCCAGCCATGTTTGATTACCAAAGAGGGTCATGCATTGTCTGAGTACCATTTCAGTAGGTGGGTGGGTGACCTTTTTCATGATCGTTTCGGAACAGAGCTGATGAAATCTTGGGTTGTTCACCTTACTGTCTGGATGGAACGTAGCCATGCATTTTTGGACGTTTCTGGTGTTTTTGGACTTCGATGGTTTTACCAACTGAGACCCACCAAGTGATGTCACTTCACCATCGTATCACGTTTGCGCACCGAGTGTGAGGTGTGCTACAGCGAACTCACCGACGCAGAGCTCTGTGGTGAGGATGGTGAGGAGCGTAAGCGGAAGCAACGCCGCTGGGATCAACGACCAGTGTCGCAAAAAAAATCGGTCTTTTACCCTCTGGGAAATCAACAGTTTGACCTTGAGAATCACCAATTTTTAATGGAAACTAATCTTCCAACCCCTATCTGCCAGGGTCTATGTTAATTTTCCGGAGGGTAATGTTACGTTTTTTTTTTTTGGGGGGGGGTTTAAAGACAACTAAAGAATTAAAAATAAGCTGGTTGGTTTTGATAGGGAAGTTATACTATTTGGAATATTGGTATATATTTATTATAGGTTAGGGGAACCCGTCAACCAACTATATATATATAATATAATGAGATGGGATAGGGGTACTTTAATGGTTCAGTTTGAACATTTTTTTCGGGTTCATGATGCAAACCCGTATTTTCATGTGTTTGATCCCAACTCACTTGCGCTTTTTTGAAGGCAGATTGAAACCAACAGCTCACACAGCTCACTGCTCTCCGATGGGGGGCAGGACAGGACACCAGAAACTGAAGCGACTTCCAATTCCCCCCAATCCAAGACAGACCCAACATTTGTTATCCGTCTTTATCGAGCAGAAAACACCATCAACATGGACATGAACAGCATTCAACAACTTCGGCACCACCTTCCCGAATTCACCTTAAACATTCCAAGTTGTGAGCCATCTATACAAGCATCCCCAAACAATCGGGTTTATTTTTAATGCTTGTGTTGTGGTTGGTCACACACACACACGTACTCATGAAATATCATCATGTTTGTGAGCGTGAGCAGCTTGTGACTCGCGCTTTGATATGACTTCTTGGTGCTTCATCCTACTTGGCAAGTAAGTCATAATAATATAAGCGCAGTTGTAAGTGGTCCAACCCCACCCACCTCATTCACAACCAGGGTTATAACCTACTCCCTTTCCTCTAATATGAGATGTCCCCAAATGAAATCTTGCTTCGGTATCGGATTGTTTTTCATAACTCGGGGTCTCAAACATTTGGGCCTATTTCATTCATGTGTTCCGTGTTTTAAAATGGGTGATATTTCCCCATTTTTACATATTTTTACCAGGTAAATCATGAAAAAATACCCCATGACCAGCAAAAAAACCTCCATGAAACTCCCCCAGGTGGCAGCTATTCAGCCTCCGGCATGGCGATCCCCTCTCCAACAAGGAGCCCTTGGCGCGGCGCCCGTGCAGAGAACCATCAGAGGTGGCCTGAGTGCCTCGGCGTCAGGGCCCTGGAGCCACGAGCTTCAACCAGGAATGGTGGTTTCATGGGAGATCAATGGGGAGATTTTTTTGGATTTTTTTTTGGGATAGAACTAATATCACTAGCCAACTTGATGTGATATGATTCGGGATTTGAGAACGTTTTTTTTTCTGAAAAGACATGGGTGACGTGGGCCATCACCATTTTTGAGAGGTAAGTCATCATTTTTCTCATCGAACTAAATGGGCCATGGCTTCAATAGCTATGTAAACTCAATTTTTCAGAACCCAAAAAAGTGGCATTGCATAACGAGATAAAGAGTGTGATAATGGGAAAACTTTTTGGGAATATCACCACCACTTTTTGTACGCCGTGAGTTTTTGTGGGGTTGGTGTACCCTCGTGACGACCGGGATAACTTCACTGATGCTTGGTGGTTTCCGTGGTCCTCGGTGTGTCTGGTGCCATGGATGATATACCCATGGTATTTTCCATGTCAATGTTGATTTTGATATAGGGATCATATTGATTACCCCCTGGTAAACTAACAGTTTGCGAACTGGAAAATCACCATCTGAAAAATAGGTAAAATTAACTATTTCAATGATCCATTTTCCATAGCTATCTTAGGCTATGTTAGTTTACCAGAGGGTAACCATTGGATTTGGGGGCAGCCTATTTTAAAACCCAGCGAAACGGAGGTCCCATTGACCACTTGACAGATGGAGTGTGTCAGCGGGTATGGCAGGTTTTCCCATAGCTAACGTTGCTTCATAGCTATCATAACTAGGGTTAATGATACAAATCAGTCAATATACTCGGGTTATATCATGTTATATCATGTTATATCATGTTATATCATGTTATATCATGTTATATCATGTTATAATGATGTTATATCTATTATCAATTATCATCTATTTATATCTAGATCATCTATGTTTAATTAGGCTTATTTCAACTCACCAGCCATAGCTGCCATAGCTCTAGGTGATCTCGATCTATGGTTTTCATGGGTCAACCAGGTCTCTGGTTGGTGGTGACTGGAACATGGCTTTTATGATTTTCCAGAATATATGGGATGTCATCCTTCCCAACTGACTTTCACTCCATCATTTTTCAGAGGGGTAGGTATACCACCAACCAGGTCTATATTAGATACCCTCTAGTAATTTAACGTAGCCATTGAAAATGATCATTTATTTCGTGAGTTTTCCCATTAATAGCATGGTGATTCTCCAGTTCGCTATGTAACAAATTACCAGAGGGTAAACCTCCATTTTCCTATGGTTTTTCTATAGTTTTCCTATGATTTTCCCATTTTCCTATGGTTTTACATATCTAAACCAACAGCTCGGCATCCCTTGCTGCGCAGGTTTTACCAGCACCACTGGGGCGAGCCCCCTGCGAACCTGCGGCAGCATGCGGAGGAGACCCTGAAGCTTTTGGAGGCGGTGAACGAAGGATGGGGAAATCATGGGAAAACTATGGTTTGTTAATATCTATATTTAATATTATCTAATATTGTTTAATATTGTTTAATGTTATTTAATGTTATTTAATGTTATTTCATATATTGTTCAATATTATTTAATGTTATTTCGTATTATTTCAATATTATTTAATATTATTTTATATTATTTAATATTATTTAATGGAAAATTCATGGAATTTGAATGGGGATGAGTATGGGTTGCCCTCTAGTAAATTAACAGTTTGACCCTGAAAGTCACCTATTAGTCGAAACTCATTTTCCCACCCCGATGACTAGCAGGATCTATCTTAATTTACTGGAGGGTATATATAAAGTATTCATGGGTTAAACTCACTTATAACTGGATATAGCTGTAGTTACTGTAATGGGAATATCACCAGAATGTATTACGTTTATTTACAGTTAATGAAGTTGGTGAACATACCTCCAATAATTCTGTTTTATGGGGGGAAATATGTATATCATCGTATTTATGGGTTTATAAACGAACTTACAGCAATGAACCATTTTTATTTTTCTAAATCATATGCCCTATAGTGACATACATTTATTTTAATAGTATATTACATGATAATACTGTATTTCTCTTTTTGTTATTATTTCAGAATCGATTATGTGATTAATTGTGCACCAATATTTTTCTATATTTTTCTTTTGCTAAAGCCACATGAGTCCACGCACTGATAAGATACGTTACATACACATAGTCATCCCTAAGAAGATAGAAAAGTAATTTGCCTCACTATTTCAGTGCGTAAGATACTTTTCTATCTTCACTTGGGCTATAGCGGCTATACTATATAGATATAGATATAGATATAGAATGATATAGATATACACATGTCTCACAGAAACTATAATGTACATGTTGCGTTTCATTTTCAGCCAGCAACCAGGCACGGTGGCCCCAGATCTCTGCGCAGGGGCCCATGAACGTTTGGGTGCCGTGGCGTGAACGAAGGTAAGCTTTTCACGCAGGGGCTGGAGAGTGAAGGGGAAACTCGGGCAACGCGCAATGGCGCGCACTAGAGTGTCTATCATTTTTCTGATGATGTGAGCTATGCTGGTGGTATTTGGATGGTATTTGATGGTATTTTTGATGATTATTTCGATGGTATTTGATGGTGATGATCCTATTTTTCTTCCAAGTTCTAATTTCTCCATGCCGAGAGGTTTCCGATTCGTCCAGGTGGTGAAGCCTGGGAGCAGTTCCAAGGGCTCCGGGGTCCTCTGCGACTTGGCAGGTGGTCCTTATCTTATCTAACGTAACCTAATCTAACCTAACCTAACCTATCGTATCCTAACCTATCGTATCCTATCCTATCCTATTCATCGATCTATCGATCGATCGATCGATCTATCTATCTATCTATCTGAATATAGTAGCCCCAAAAGATAGAAACATATAGAAAAGTGATGAAAAGTGATGCAATTGATATCATTTATTTTGCAGTATTTATATATTTTTCTTCGTGGGTTAAATAATAGCTATTTTTTTGGGGCATAGTTGGGAGTTGTTGATGGGAAATATGATGGGATGTCACCCTTGGGAAGCATTAACTTAGGGAATATTTGGAGGGATGAACGTATAGTAACCATGACATATTTTTAGGCATAGATCGCGACATATAGCAACCCCCAAGCGACTTTTTAAGGGAAGCTCCATGTTGAATCCCATCCCTCTACCATGATCTAGTACGAAATACCACCCCTACCAGAGGCCCCAGCGGTTACCTTAAGAGGGGCTTCCATAAGAGGGGGGAATTTTTACAGATACGAACCAACCCCCAAAATCCCATCAGAAATATGCACTGGTAAATTAAAATCACCAATTTAGTGGAAACTAATCTCAAAAAACCATGATGACTGGCAGGGTCGAACTGTGATTTTTTTCTGAGCCAATCAGATTTGGCCATGACTTGGGGCATCGCCCCCGAGCCAGGCATGGATTCGCTACCAGAGGTGTTGCACCACTGCAAGACCACCTCAAACCGAATCGTGCAGAAGTGACCCGCTTCGGCACAGGGTCGGCGTGGGCGACCCTGGGGCGTCACCTTTGGATGGGCACCCTTTGGGTTCAAAAAATCTTATGGCCGACGCCAGGTACATTGAACGACCCTTGCTGCTCTTCAGCGGTCGGAAGTTCGATCTGCGACAGTGGGTGATGGTACGCTCTTTTCGACCACTGAAGGTCTACATGTTCTCCTCGTGCTATTTGAGCCTTGGCGGTGTTCGCAGGAACCCCCCGAAGACATCTAGGAATCAAACATAGCTAGCAGGGAAATCCCCTGTAGTTGGGCATTCAAATGGGAAAATTATCGAACTAAATGAGGGGTGCTTCTTTCCATGTTTGACTCCGAGAGCGTATGCGGATAATATTCTCAAATCTTCTAGAGTCCGTTTTCAAGCCAGTGATGCCACTGGTTCTATATTCGCATTCTCAACTTTCCTCACCACAATTCTTGACAACATTTCAGCCTTGGTTGTCTCCCCGTCAGTGCTCATAGCTCTCCCATGCCAGCATCGATTTGCGAGTGATCTTCAGAACGATTGGACTTGATTCTGGTTGGTGTTTTCACTGGCTGCTGGTTTTAACAATCAGAATATGTTCAACCTTTTTGAACCATATTTGGGATGATGATCTCCAATCAGTTTAACGTTTCTCGACCATATTTGGGATAATACCAGTTCTTTGAAAACATCGTAGCTGGTACGATGATCCCCAATGAAATTCTGGAAAAACTGAGCTGGTTATGGGATGTCAGGCAATTTTTCATAATTTTTCTATGACTTCCCCAATGACATTCCTATAACTGAGCTGGAAATGCCCAGTTTCGATAGGCGCCAATCGGCAAGTCATCTACTTTGATGGTCGATTTTCCATGGCCATCTTTGAAACGGCAGATTGGAGCCAGAGGCATTCCTATTTCCAACAAAACATGGGTAGCCAAGGAGCTACGAATTGATGATTATTTTCCTATTTCCGGCCATTTTCATCATTTTCATGGACTTTTCTGTGGATTTTGAATTTCATAACTTTCCCCATGATTTTCCTTGATTTTACCACATGTCTTCCATGGGATTTCCCTTATTTCCCCATGGATTTTGCCACATTTTTCTCCTCGCCGGACTTCTTCGGGGAGGCGCTTGTGCAACGAGCCCTACGATTTGGGAGATTTGGAGAACCGGCAGCGGCACATCTCCAATTGGCGCCTTGGGTGACCGATGGAGGGACAACTTATAGCCTGGTTGGTGGTTTCAATATACCCTCTGGTAAACTAACATAACTATTGAAAATTGCCATTTATAGTTGATTTACCCACTAAACATGGTGATTTTCAATAGCTATGTTAATTATTTATGGGATATACCAATGGTTAATAATGGTTAATAATTGAATAATGTTCAATATTAACCATTACTAGTTGGTGGTTTCAAACATGTTTTTATTTTCCATTTCATATATGGGATAATCCTTCCCATTGACTAATATTTTTCAAGATGGTTAAAACCACCAACCAGTGGTTAATAGTGTTGAGAGTTTAAAGATAGCTACAAAATGTTTTTTTTTTTTTTTTTAAAACTGTTTTTTTCTTAAATAAAAAACTATGCTTTTTTAATGAAAAAAAGATGATTTTTGATGATGAAATTTATGATTTGTGTTTTTGCCTGAAAACAGTTTATGTTTTTTTATTTATTTATTTTTTTTTTAAAATGATTTTTCGATTTTTCATATTTTTTTTTAAATTATTATTTTAATGTTTTTTTTAATGATTTTTTACAATTGTTTTTTTTAATGATTTTTTGAATGTTTTTCAAAAAAATATTTTAAAAAACATAAAAAATCATTAAACCATCTTAAAAAGAACGCACAAATCATTAAATAACATAAACAATCATTAAACAAATCATTAAAAACCATTTAAAACAAAACATAAAAAAACATAAAACGACATAAAAACACATAAAAAACATAAAAAACATAAAACATCTTAAACCATCATTAAAAATAATAAAAACACACAAAACATCACTAAAAAAACATAAAATAAATCACGATGGACAGAGAGAGAGAAATCATAAAAAAAACATAAAACCATCATAAAACATCATTTTAAAAACAAAAAAATAATCATAAAAACTCATAAACATTAATATTTTCACCCAAACAAATCATTAAAAAAATCATAAACAAAATCATAACAAAATCATTAAAAAAAACATAAACAACTTAGAAAGTTAAAAAAACATAAATCATAAAAAACATATCGTTTTTTTCCATTTTTCTAATCATATCCTAAAAATCATAAAGCAATCATTAAAAAAATCATACAAATATAGAACAATAAAACAATTTTCTCGCTAATGTTTTAACTCTCAATAATAGTGGTTAATCGTGGTTTAATAGTGACCAATAATCACAATTAGTAATGATTGGTTAATGACCATTTAATAGTGGCTAATAGTGACGTTCCTAGTGATTTAATAGTGACTAATAATGACTTAAATAGTGGTTAATAGCGATTAATGATTAGTAGTGATTTAATGGGTGTACCCCAACAGCTGGATGGTTGACAATGGACAATCCCATTAAAATGAACAGAAACTGCATCTCAAAAAATTGACACCGAGAACACATCTAAAAAAACAAAAAAACACCAAATATTTACATTTATGATATTGATGTTTCAGGATGTGAGATGTTCGAGGTTTTTTTTCCCCCATGCGGCGAGGTCGGTGAACAAGCGCGGCAAGCACGTCTCGGACGGCGCGGTGGCTTCGCTGGACGAATTCCAGGAGGTGCTGGAGATGATGACGGGCCAGCGCCGCTGGGTGATGCATGGTGATGGACGGATGGCTTTAAAAGATGGACATCCCATAGGAAATCCCATGGACATCCCATTTCGGATTTCCGGGGATTTTCTGGATTTCTGTAAGATTTAACTAGAATTAAATTTTTTTAAGGCAGGTTCTTGAGACTTGTTGGATGAACAAGATTTGGATGTAGTGAAGATTTACTGGAATATGGGGATTTATGGGGATTACACACCCCATGAAAAGATTATTGTATATAGTGATAATTACCCTTAAACCCACACGTTAACCAAGTTGTTAACCAAGTTATGTTCACCAACTAGCTATCTTTTGGGGATAGGGGGCTTATCCATGAAGTAGATATTTCAATGGTAAAATCATCGAACTACATGGGTATCTTTTATGGAACACCATGGAACATAGCTGATGTAACTTAACTAACCAACTTGTCCAAGTGCAGTTTGGCCTAGCTGACACTGGCTGCAGTGGGGTAGCATTTTTTTGCCAGTAAAAGTGTGTGACCAAAGTGCTTGTTTCACTCGCGGAAGCCTGGAAGCCTGGGGGAAGATACTCGTTTGCCGAGTTGTAAACGGGCTGGAGGGTCCAACAAGATGCAGTAGAGATCGACAGGTCAAACAGTCTGGACCTGATCAAACCATGGAGAGACACAGTGGAGACATCACATGACCAATTTTTGGGTCCTTGGTACCCTACCAGTTGTGAATTCTCATTGGATCGGACGGCAAAGCCTCAAAGCAGGCGACAGCTTGCCAGCTTGCGGTCGAACTCAGGCAGCTACTGGGAAGAAGAACTGATCCCGCAGTTGAGGACCTGCATCGTCCAGACCCTACAGGCTGTGCAGCCCAATATCATTCAGAGGCGAGGGTCGGCAGCTCCCAGCATTTTTTGGAGGGGCCAACATGGTCCCTTTGAAAACCAAACCGGACGCCTCAAAACCAGATTTTTCTCCTCATCCACGGTCCCCCCAACAAACATAAGTATATATCACATCAAGTGGTTGAGCAAGACATCAGATCAGTTGCAGTGAAACCTGGAGACGGCCGGCCTAAGGGCGCGCAAGATGATTTTGATATGTTTGATGATTTTTCTTGATGGAAATTGCATGTTTCTTGGCTCCGTTGGTTTTCAGGGCTTTAAACAACGATGGGACCGCAGCAGCTACTCAGTTACTCCGCCGCCGCCGCGCCTGTGGAAGGTCTGAAAGCTTCGAAGTCTACGGCTTCGACTTTTTGATCGGCGAAGACTTGAAGCCCTGGCGCCCTGGACTGGAGCATGGGCGCCATTGCTTCGAAGGGTGATAGGCATGTCATGGAGATTCCACCAGGAAAGATGGATCCAAGTGATGGACTTCAACAAAAACATCAAAAACCTAGAAACTCCAGTTTTTAGAGCTCAAACAAATTTGTCCAAGCTTGGCTTTTCGGCGGGTAATGATCAACTGGAAACTGGAACTGCACTTTTCGTGTCTTGAAAAAAGTGGACAAGAAAAAGGAAGGCATCCCCTTTCAGGAATCGATGTTCCAGGATGGTATCAATGTATCATCATATTATCATCATGTATCACCAATTTCTATCCCAGCCAGCTTTCTTTCGGGCCGGGTTATCGGGTTATCCCCTTTGGATCCATCGATGGCATCGTCATGGGATGAACTTCTTTCTCTTTATCTCTCTCTGTGTACGGTATATGATTATGTATGTATATATATATATTATATATATATATATGTACTGTATATGTGCGTATTTAAGTGTTATGCATATGTTTTTTTCCATCTTTTTTTCAGACTTACGGGGTGATGGCAATGTGCTAAACCCCAAAGCATACAGAAACAATAAATATCACAAACCATCCCCTCCAATGCCTCACAAGAAATTGGGTGGGTCAAATGTGGCAGTGGCTTTACCACCTACGTTGGTTTATAACTGCAATAACTCTGGTTTATGGATGTTTATGGTAGATATATTATGATATATTAATTAAAAAAACGATGAACGTTAATGGGGGTTTACCAAACAACAAATCACAATAAATCCCAAAGAAATCGATAAATCTTCAACCACTCCCAGTAAAAATCAATAAAACAAAAATCCGAAGTTCCACCTACCCTCTGGTAATTTAACATAGCCATGGAAAATCACCATTTTTCATGGGAAAATTCACTATAAATGGCCATTTTCAATAGCTATTTTGACATAACCAGAGGGTATTTCCAGGGGCTCTTTCAGCCTCACCTTTCGGCCTTTCGCATCCTTTCGCGGCTCTCAAAAAAGGTTGTTGGAGGTGAACCTGAGCCCTGCCTGTGAGTCGCGAACCGCCTGGATGTCTGAGATGTTGGAGCGCGCCTTGAAAAAATAGGGATTTCCCGTTTTTGTGGCTTTCTGAAGCGGGGTTTTAGATGAGTTTTTTACATGTGGTTTTCTGGTTTTATAATGGGTTTATATGGATATATACATGTATATATATATATAGACAGTATATATATATAGATAGACAGTATATATATATTATATGTATAATCAATTATAATATGTACATCATATGGATTCATATCGTTTCATATGGATTTATCTGGATTTTATATCAATCTACAGTCCAAAAACGCCCGCAAAAATATGGAAAGCTTGGCACCATGGGTAAATATTTGGAGGAACCAGCTGGTTAAAAATTGAACCAGAGTCATAGTAGCAAGGCAATAGGAATCCCTCAGGCTGAGGGATTCCTATTGCCTTGCTAGCCCTCAGGTGACTGGGAGGAATGACCCCCAAATATATCTCATAATATCAGCAGTGCATCCGGTCTATCCAAATGTATCATGTAGATGTCCCAAATTCCCACTGATTGGTTGATTTTCAACCACGACTAATCGGTAAGTGATGATAGATCAGATGCCAAACTGCCCCCGTCTATTTTCCTAAACATTCCTAAACGGACAATATTGTCATGCAATGTATCCCCAAGTATGCAGTATCATGTGCATAGATTTGATGGAACATCGTCTAATTTACCCGCAATTGACCCATACTACCTCTCGCCCTTGAAGAACATCCCAAGATATCTCTCACCAATCAGCTGCTGGACTGCTGGTTGCAGTTGAGTTGTAGCTGTGTCGTGTTGTTTACATTTCTTGTAGGTGTGCAGACACCAAATATTTGATATGCCACATATTCTATCATTTTCTTCATGACTTCACTGGTTCTTGTTGATTCTACCTCCATTCTGGTTGGTTCTGTCCCAACTGTCGGCTGCCGCTTAGGCATGGCATCCAGATTAGTGGAGGTCCTACAGCAAGGTGGGGGTGATCTCAGCTGATGTCATGGGCATCTAATGGGATACCCTTTGGAAATTCAACATGTAGTAGGGAATGGATGGGTTGCTGGGGGTTGCTGGGATGATTATTAGCCAGTGGATGCCAGTGGATCATTCATGGATTATTGATAATTAGCCAGTGGATCCATTATCTAATTATTAGCCATCTAATGGGATACCCACTGGTTGCTGGATTGGTTGCTGGGATGATTATTGATAGTTAGCCAGTGGATCATTCCCGAAAATTTCCTGCGTTTAGCACCAGGCATGGCTGGCCTTTGGACATTTCCTTTGAATGGAGGGAAATGTAGCTGGGAAAATCCATCCATATTTGATGACTGGCTATGGGGCCTGAAATCTTGGGGCCCATACATCTATGTAACGATTGGCTTTGGAAGGTGAGGGTGGCAAAAACATATGATATATATATATATATATGTACAATAGAATCTATTTTTAGATACATCATATAGGTTTATTTATATATATATATATAGTAGATGATATTTTTAGATAGATCCACGGTGGAATCCACGTCACGTAATCAGCTGATTAGCCATTCTGTTTGATTGCCTTACTATCATTAGAACATCCAATAAATATCCCAATGAAATCAGCACGAAAAAAAAGTCCACATATGTCCGACCATGAACAAACTTTATTAGACAACAAGGAAATTGTGCCTTCATCCCAAAAACCCACTAAAATCACTAAAAGAATCACCATCCCCATTTTAGATGTATTGGATCGCCATGATAATTCACCTCCAATAATCACCGTTATTGCACAGACAATCCCCATTCACGTTTCATACGGTAGATGATCATTGATTTATCCATGGTGATTCATAGTGATTTTCATAGAGTACTAATATTCTCACCTTGGAGAATAATGCCCATATGATTATAGCATATTATAACTATATAAATGGGCTAACGCCCTGGTGCCACCGACCCCTTTTCAAGGGTGGAGGAAGAAGTGCGCAGACATAGAGCCACGCAAGAAGCCCAGCAAACGGCTAGGCCTAAACATTGTTAAACATACGTATGTATATATATAGTACATGACATGCATTCCATGCGCAAAAGTGGAATGATGATAGAAATTGGGGAATACTCATGACGTCATTGTGGCGACGCCACCAGGATGAAAGACTGTGAAACACCCCAAGACATCGGTCAGCTGGAAGCCTATAAGAAGCCATTGAAGTGGCCTTTTTCGGGGTTTTAGGGGTTTGGAGGGTTTGGAAAGTTTTAGCCCTGGCAAACGGGAAGCTTGGACGCCCAGAAAAAGCCATGGATGTGGGCTTTTGCCTGCAATGAAAGCCCAGAAGAAGCCATTGAAGTGGCCTTGTAGGGGTTTTAGGGGTTTTAGGGGTTTGGAGGGTTTGGAGGGTTTTAGGCCTGGCAAACGGCAAGCTTGGACGCCCATAAAAAGCCATGGATGTGGGCTTTTGCCTGCGATGGAAGCCCATAAGAAGCCATTCAAGTGGCCTTGTAGGGGTTTGAGGGGTTTGGAGGGTTTTAGGCTTGGCAAACGGCCAGCTTGGACGCCCATAAAAAGCCATGGATGTGGGCTTTTGCCTGCGCTGGAAGCCCAGAAGAAGCCATTGAAGTGGCCTTGTAGGGGTTTTAGGGGTTTTAGGGGTTTTAAGGGTTTTAGGGGTTTGGAGGGTTTGGAGGGTTTTAGGCCTGGCAAACGGCAAGCTTGGACGCCCATAAAAAGCCATGGTTGTGGGCGCTGGAAGCCTATAAGAAGCCATTGAAGTGGCCTTTTCGGGGTTTTAGGGGTTTGGAGTGTTTGGAGGGTTTTAGCCCTGGCAAACGGCAAGCTTGGACGCCCAGAAAAAGCCATGGATGTGGGCTTTTGCCTGCGATGAAAGCCCAGAAGAAGCCATTGAAGTGGCCTTGTAGGGGTTTTAGGGGTTTTAGGGGTTTGGAGGGTTTGGAGGGTTTTAGGCCTGGCAAACGGCAAGCTTGGACGCCCATAAAAAGCCATGGATGTGGGCTTTTGCCTGCGATGGAAGCCCATAAGAAGCCATTCAAGTGGCCTTGTAGGGGTTTGAGGGGTTTGGAGGGTTTTAGGCTTGGCAAACGGCAAGCTTGGACGCCCATAAAAAGCCATGGATGTGGGCTTTTGCCTGTGCTGGAAGCCCAGAAGAAGCCATTGAAGTGGCCTTGTAGGGGTTTTAGGGGTTTGGAGGGTTTGGAAGGTTTTAGGCCTGGCAAACGGCAAGCTTGGACGCCCATAAAAAGCCATGGATGTGGGCTTTTGCCTGCGATGGAAGCCCATAAGAAGCCATTGAAGTGGCCTTGTAGGGGTTTGAGGGGTTTGGAAGGTTTTAGGCTTGGCAAACGGCAAGCTTGGACGCCCATAAAAAGCCATGGATGTGGGCTTTTGCCTGCGCTGGAAGCCCAGAAGAAGCCATTGAAGTGGCCTTGTAGGGGTTTTAGGGGTTTGGAGGGTTTGGAGGGTTCTAGGCCTGGCAAACGGCAAGCTTGGACGCCCATAAAAAGCAATGGTTGTGGGCGCTGGAAGCCTATAAGAAGCCATTGAAGTGGCCTTTTCGGGGTTTTAGGGGTTTGGAGGGTTTGGAGGGTTTTAGCCCTGGCAAACGGCAAGCTTGGACGCCCATAAAAAGCCATGGATGTGGGCTTTTGCCTGCGCTGGAAGCCCATAAGAAGCCATTGAAGTTGCCTTTTAGGGGTTTTAGGGGTTTGGAGGGTTTTAGGCCTGGCAAACGGCAAGCTTGGACGCTCAGAAAAAGCCATGGATGTGGTGGGCTTTTGCCTGCGCTCGAAGCCCATAAGAAGCCATTGAAGTGGCCTTTTAGGGGTTTTAGGGGTTTGGAGGGTTTTAGGGCTGGCAAACGGCAAGCTTGAACGCCCATAAAAAGCCATGGATGTGGGCTTTTGCCTGCGCTGGAAGCCCATAAGAAGCCATTGAAGTGGCCTTTTAGGGGTTTTAGGGGTTTGGAGGGTTTGGAGGGTT